CTGACTGAAAGCTTTTCAAAAGAAACTTCTGCATTGCAGAGTTCATTGCAAAGGTCTGTTGCTATAAGTAGTAACAACATTAGTTAAGAATGAGTTAGGAATCTTACCTTAAAAGACAAAGTAAATAAGGTAACTGCTGCATTTAGGTATAGTGATAGTCCAGCATAATAGGCCCCAAATCCAGTTTGTTTCCTTGTGTGTTTCAACATAAGGAAAAAATGACTTGTGTCTCTTTGTTGAAGTGGTAAAGCCCCAGGTATTTTTCCCAGGTACTTAGAAGTACATACCAATACATAATAAACAAGAGGAGCAGAAGTGCAGTAAAAACATTGTGAATTCTGTTAAAGATTAAATCAGTCCAAAAGAGTTGATAGAATAAGGAAATATTTACTTTGCATAATGATGTAAATACCAAGAGATACTCTTCTGTGTATAATGGAAACAGAAAAGGTGACTTCATAACCATTTCCCCTGCTTTTTTTTCATTTCATGGGTTTAAAAAAAAAATTAAGTTGAAGACCTAGATAGTTTTTGAAAAATGTACTGTATTACCAATGTCAGAAATTATTCCATTCCATATACATGGTGGGGAGGAGCTCCTTGCCCTATTTAGTTCAATTAATAATGTACATTAATGAATTATATTGCTTATTGCATTTTTTGTCTTGTATGTCCAGCACTTCAGCAGGTAGGTGGAAACAGTCTAGCTGTATTTTACTGACAAATTCCTCTGGGTGCACAGTGTGACTGTTATGAAGGTACAATTAGATAAGTGAATTGTTTTTCTATAATATATCTTCTGCTATTTTCATGTATGATCTTATAACAGATGAGCGTTATTTACCTGCTTTCCTGGAATAGCAGGTTGTGTTTCTTTGTAGAGGGGATGTTAAGTGAATTAAACACATGAGCAGTTAGCCCATTTGCTTAGGGAGGCTGGCGTTGAGACAAGGAGGTTATGGCAGGATACAGAGCAGCCTGGAGGAGAAATACTGTGGATGTAACCATTCTGCTAGAAGAACTGAATTGAAATGGGGACACTACTGTTAATTCATGTGTAATTACATTCCTTTGTTGTTAAAAATTAAATCCCGGTCAAGAGGAAAGTTGAGCCTGGAACTGTGTTTTGAAGCAAATTTGAGCTGATGCCTTTCCAAAAACCTTTGGAGATTGCCAGGATGTAGTCACCAGGAAGTAGTTACCTGATGGACAGATTTATGTTCTTTCATTGTCTAACTTTTCTGTGAGTTTATCAGCATCTTTCATCATGCAGGTTATTTGTAAAATATCACCTACTACAAAGTTTTGCTTCTCTTCCTCTCTTCTCTCCACTAAACCACAGTTTGAGGGAAGGATTCACCATGCACTGTTCTTTCATGTGCAACCTCTGGGTCAGCCATCAGGAATTCCTTGTTCTTTGAGGCTGGCATTTATATCTGCACAAAAATCTTTGCAGTTCATCATGCTTCATGTGATCACTACCATAGGACCAGAGGCCCCAAAGCCCTCCTTGCAGAAGTAATTCTGCAGGAGTCTCAGCAGGGATACGGGTTGCAAGGCCTTTGTACCTTGAGATTTGTACCTTAAAAATTTATGCATGTGTTCTCTGCAACATGGGAGCATTCTGCAGCATTTTCCCTTGTAAAGTATGTTTTTAAATGCTGTTATGTTTCATATAATGATTATTCTTCCAATATCTCTGCCCCCCTCCCCAAGATGTTGTTTTTAACTGCATTTTTTTATGTGAGGAATTCCCTTTCACTAGGAACTGTGGAATTACTACCTCTGAAGAGTACTCCCCTTTTTGCTCTTTTCCATCAGTGTGCCAGTCTGATGCATGTATTTTGGATGTCAGTTATTCACATTTCTACCCCAGGCTGTAAGTTCATCTTTTCACAGGAGTATCAGTTCAGACTTTTTCTCAACTGCTTGTTTCTGCGGTGCTTGTCCCTCCCTTGTCCTCCTTTGTACTGGTATGTACTTCAAAATACTGGACTTTGTCGTTTCAACTGAGAGGTGATACACCGGTAAGGTGCCTGAGTCTGGCGTCCTTCGTACAGGCCATAACATGCAAAAATGATTGTGTTAGCTTTTGCTGTGTTTGCAGACAAATGAAGCTTAATATCTCTGTCCAGTCTCCGAATTGCCTATGAGATTCTTTATTTAATCATTTCAATCTGCGTTGCTCGTGGCTTTTCAACCTCTATTAGACTTCCTGTCAGAGAGTGCTGGCACCACAGAACAACAGGGTTCACTGGCTGGCTGGCTCTGTACTTTATTGTGTGTTGTCTTTATTGTATTTGTGGGATTTATTGTTATTTCACTACAAATCTTCACAATATTTTTTAAGTTCTGTGTTAACCCTGAAAAGTTACAGAATTAGGTTAAGAATTAAAAGGCTTTCAAAGCATCTTTGTCCTGAAACAACTCTGCAGGGCATGAATAAGTAATAAATGGATTGTTTTTCAGTCAAAATGAATCAGCTGACATGAGCTTCCCTGTGAAAAATCTAGTTGAGTTTTTACAGATACCTGTAGGGTTATATTTCTCCCCTCTTAAGTTATACAAGAATTCAGATCACCTTGAATCAGTGATCATAGGCTGGATTGACCTCTGAAATTATAGATCTTGAACCTTGTGCGAAGATCAAAATGTATGGGATTCTGTGTTAGAGAGGATGTATTTTGTCTGTGTTTTTACAGTATACATTTAGCATGACACTGGCTTGATTAGATGATTTCCTGAAGCCACGATTTAGTTCTTCAGGGTCCGACTATGTAATTTTTTTAAAAATACAATGTGCAGTAGGAAGCCGTACTGGTATTTATGGTTGTTGATTCACAATAATTCCAGACTAGATAGAGGTGGATATTTAAAGATATCAACCAATTGAAGATTTTGAGGAAATACTGCTTGCAGTTTCATTTTTAAAATGTTTTTTCTTTCTCTTATATGTCAGTCCATGTTAAATGTGTATAAAGTTATTATTGTCATGTATGTTATAATTATACCTTGTACAGACACAAGGTTATCGTTTTTGTAATAAATACCTCCAGTACAAGTTGTATTGTGACATAATTAACCATCACTTTTCTTTTTCAACATCTCGTTACTTTCAGTATAAATCTTCTGGAAGGACCCTAAATAAATAGGTGGTTTTAAGTAGCTCTTCTTTTTCCCCAATGTGACCTTAATTTATGGGATAATAGGATTATTTTTTTTAAACTTCCTTAAAACACACTCACTTTAGAGGTGAAAAACTTTGCTTTTTGCTTCTGATAATTACAGAGTCCCAAATCTGCTCAGATAAGACTAATCTGGTCTCCCATTTGATGTCTTTCACACTGCACACTAAATGTCTTCACTCAGCTTTCTTGCCTCTCTTTTGTCAATGTAGTGGTTTATTCCTACCTGGTGGCATATAAGGAGGTGGCTGAAGGAGCTGCACTGGATGCTCTTTCAGGAGTTTGGCAGTATATTCTCAGTTGTGTTCTCTCTTTAACATCTGACAAGTGTGAAACTTAGTTGGGTGTTTTCACTGGGGTGTTGAGCATTCCCTTACGTGGATTCTTGTAAATCTGTTATTTTTCATCAGCGGGAAGCATAGAAGTGCTGGGAGGTAAGTGCTGGTCTTCAGCCTGCTTAGCTTTGCGTGAACCCCATGTGCCAAATTTTTAGTATCTGCCCTGCCATGTGGTCGATGAAGTCTATTTGCTGTGGTCACTGGGATAGCTGCTTCCAGGACTTCCCTGTTGAGAAGCTTGCAAACAATCTGGGAAGGCAGTGAAGAAAACTGACAGCTGTGAGGTCAGTCCTGCAGCTTTGGCAGTTAGTGTGTGAAAAGGTCCTATGGTAGCATTGGTGATGATGCTTTGATATTAATCTTGAATATCTCTAAAATGTTCTGTATTATTAAACCGATAGTGGTGATGTTTATTAATGGTACCGCTATGGGAAGGTAATGAGACACATTTAGAGCCCTCTGGTAGAAGTGTTTCAGGGTCTCGTGCTATTATTTTGGAAGGAGCATGGTAACGGAGAACATCGTGAGGTCTCGGGAGAAATTAGGCAAGATAATGTGATTGCTGAAAAATTAACACAAATCGCAGCTGTATGATAAAAGCTTTAAGAAGTTTTTTCAAACCATATAAAGTAAAGAGAAAAACTAAAAGCGACTCCCCAGGCAGGGCTGAAATAGATGCATTGTATCTGCTGAGGCTTAGTCCTGTAGTATTTGGCATAATTTGAAAGTTGAAGTTACTTTAAAATTTATAGTTGTTTCTAAAAAATTCTTGAAATACAACTTCAGATTCTGTTTCCTGAAAGTGCAAAAGTTTCGCTAAGGTTTCCTTGTTTTCATGTGTTAATTCTGGTATTCTAAAAGCGTGCAAATGGCATTTGTCTTTGGATTTACAAAAACTCTAGATATTCAGAGTTTGAATTATTTAAACTCCCACAACACATGCACTTTTGCTTTTCAAGCTTGAGTTATAATTTAATTAAAAACTTCTGGTGCATCGCTAGCTATTTAAATATTAAAATGTTCCATGGATCACTTTCGATTATCTACCGTCATGAAATTCCTGAAGATGTCAGATTTTTAAGATTCCCAAAGTTGCACTTGGAATTGTCTGTTGATGCAAAGGGGACTGTGATAATTACATACATCCATTAGTATCAGCAGAGGAGATAAACTTTGGGGAGGCTTAATGGGCATGTCTCAGTGACAGCTAGCAAAGAACATTTGGCATGATTAAGGATGGATTTGAATGTACTTGAAAATATACTCTCATTATGGACGCCCAGTGGAAGTTGCACTACAAATGTTAAATTCCCCAGAAGAAGAGTTGTGTGGCAGGGAAGCTTTGAAATCCACTGTGGCCGTCATCCAAATTACTCTCTTCTCTTTGTGTCTTTCTGCTGTCAGATTCACTTTGTGATGCCCAACTTGGCTCCCTGCATCTTTGAAAAGAGGCAACCTGTTGGTTTCTGTGTTTCAGATTGTCCGGAGGTACATCAAGGACTGGCTTGAAAGGAAGAAGCCTCCATTTGGCGCTATCAGCAGCTGCGTGCTCCTGATGATCATCTACACAACATTCTGTGATACTTTTGCCAATCCAAATATTGACCTTGATAAATTTAGCTTGATTATAATAGTGTTCATAAGTAAGTTCAGCCTTAAAGCATCTCTCTTATCTGTGTTTCAGGTGTGTAATGAGCTATCTGTACTGGAAAGCGTGGGGCTGCGGGGATACCGGCATGGGGCTAGAGCTTGTACTTTTAATGCATCTAGTAAACCAGATTACCAGACTACTTAGGGGCTGGATGCTTTTAGGGATTGAGTAAGCATTTAGAGAGGGATGAAGCCTGCTATTTAGGTGTGCCTGAGATTGCTCAGTGGTCCTCCCTTTCTAAAGGGGCACAATATTACTTGCCAAGTGTTTATGACCATTCTGTTTTGTCTTTTTTGTTATTAAACAACCATAAATGCACAGATGTTGCATTCCAAAGAGAAAGGAAAGATTTGGGTTTGAGCTGTTACTCAAAAGCACTGTTATAACTTTTAAATAGTTCTTCCTTACTGTATTATAAACCTAGAAACTAGTTGGGAGTTTGAATGTGTTGATATATTTCTGTGCATGAATGCATTTCTTGCAGAGTTTGTTTTAGAAGCACTCTAGTCATTCAGCCTTAAATAACATACACATGAGAATAGACTGCTGGTATCCTTGCCATCAGTTAAAAATACACTGGCAGATCACTACTTCCCAGGAAAAGGCAGTGGTATGCAGGCACTGTGTCCTCTCCCAGTAGGGAATTCCCATCTTGCTTCATACTGTTCGGAGACAGGAGTTTCAATTTGCTTGGGGGAGAGGTAACTACAGTATACTACAGTATAAGTCACATCTCATACACTCTAAAACTGTTAGATTTCAAGAAATCAATGCCTCACCTACCTTGAAGTGTGTGTATGTGCGCATGTTTCTGTCTAATAAAAATAATGTATCTTCTATAAATCCAACCTCCACTAAAGTCAGGAGGAAATTTGCCCCTGCTCTTTGCGGGTCAGTTCTTATTCTGTCCTAATTGTGGCAGTTTTTTGGATTATGAAACGCTATATGTGTGTAAAATACTATATGGAATCATAAATGGTACTGTATAAATACTTTATTCTGAAAGCAAAGAAGAAGGAAGCCATGCGAAGGAGCTTTTTTTCAAAATGGAGGAAATAACTTCTTTGCATGGGCACCTGAGAGGGACCACATCCCAGATGCACTTAAATCAGTGCAGAGTTGTCAGCAAAAAAGAGGGATATGGAAATTTTCAACTCTGACTTAACATGTAGAGAAACTCAGAATGAAGTAATTTTATGTTACTGTGCTGACCGCTACTTTGAAAAAAAAAAAAGTTCTTTTTTAGTTAAAAAGGCATGTTCTTCCTTGAGCAGTTGGTGTAGAGTTGTTGCTTCCATTGCCTTTCTTGTCTTTTATTTCTCTGCAAGACAACTCTGCGTTTATGCCATGTGTAATTATGTATACCACTTGCAGTGCAATACACTGAAAATCATTATATATACATTTTCATTGCCAGTGTGCATAACTGGAGTTTCTTAGTAAGAATATTAGCATGAGCATTGGAACTGCTTGGAACATATTAGACATTTGTTTTTTTCTGAAATATTTATAAAACAAAAAACCAAGGAAGTTGTGGAGATGGATATGCACATTGTATTCTAGAAAAAGTTTCTGTACCGCCATTGGATGTGTTGGCTGGATGTGTGTGTTGTGTTATTCTAGGATATGAAATTAGCACGAGGAGTTTGAGATGAAATTGCATTTCTTATTCTGCTGATTAATGTTTTTATGTAATTTTTATGTTAATATTCTAGCCACAGCAAAATATGCACAAGGGATAATTGGTAGCAACACATGCTTATTGCTTTACAGAATTATACATATTAAGGGATTTTTTTTCTGTGCATATTAAATTAATGTACTTAGTTGCAGAAAAATTGTAATTCAGCAACAATGGATTTCTTCCTTAGTTCATGAAGGAAGAATTAAGTGCATGCTGAGGTGACATTTATACATCCTAGGAAATGTATGTAAGAGAATGGAAAATGTCACTGGTAATAGCTAATATCCCTGCCATGTTGCCCAGTTGTAAACTGGGGTCAAAATCGAATGTGTTGTCTTGGCTTGCACTACCCTATGGGACACATTAGCCTTATTGCATTCACAAGTTTTGCAAGGAAAAGGGAGAGAACCCGCCCCAGATTCTGCTGCAAGTAAAAGCCCTTCCCCCCGTAACCCACAAACACCCAGAAAAGGTCTGTGCAGGTCACAGGGTTTCTCCTCCAGCTCTGTGGGGAGTTCCTGCGCTCCGGCACGATGCTCAGTCTCTGCAGTCCCAGCAGCTGCTCACAGCACAGCGGGAAGCTGCCTGCTTCTCCCCACGTATCCACAGACCAAGGGTGGGCTCTGTGCATCCCACAACCCCTGCGGGTGTCAGGAGAGCTGGCAGAGAGGAGAGCTCCCCTCAGGATGCTCAAAAAGCGTCTGCACTTACAAAGCTGACTGAGCTTGAACGGAAGCTGCTTTGTCTGATGTCCTGCCCAGTGCAGGAATTAGCCTTTGTCTCAGAAGGAATTAAAACGTCTATGATGATCTCCTCTTAACAGTGATCGTTCATCGGGAGAGTAATATACCCGGTGTGTGAGAATATTTATCGTGATCACGCTTACGCATTGTACTTTCTCCTGTTAAATAGAAAGGGGCTAAATTTAAATGCTTGGCAACTAGAGCATGTCTGAGAGACTTTGTTGTCAACCCAATAAGCAAAACTAGTGCGAACAGATGTGCAGCATGCAGTAGTGAACTTTCCTGCCATTCATCGTGTCAAGAAATACTTGATTCAGAAGAGTTACCTCAGGAAGAACTTGAGTAGCCACGATATTAGCTCTAGGTTTCTTGGCTGTAATGATACATATTGTTCTTCCAGACAGTCTTTAAAGGTTGTCTGTCATTGGATTTCTCTGCATAGACTTGGTCCAGCCTAGCTTCTGACCTGTTGTATGGGGGCAAAAGGCATGTACACAGCAATTGCAGAGATTTAAGTGATCTTTACTTCTCTAAGTCTAATTTTAACTTGTTTCTCTTTCAGTATTTTCTGTTCAGATGAGCTTCATGTTTTTGACTTTCCTCTTCTCTACAAGGTAATTGAATGTGCTGAATCAGAACCTTTAAATATTTGTTTTGTGTGATATCTTTGATTTGGGTGATACAGTTTATGCAAATGTGTAAGGGCAGGTTTCTGAATAGGGGTGACCTCATTTTGGTATTTCATACTGTCCTTACTGCATTTTCTCTGTTAGAGTTTCATAGGCTAAGAGAGCAGGACCTGAATTCTGTCCTTTCTTGTGTGTTAATTACAGAGTTGTTAAATCTCAATCAATCACTGCTATACCTCATCCACTGAAAAAAATGGATTTGCACAGATGTCACTGAAGGTATAATTTGCCCTGCAGACATGCTGATGACATATGAGAGAGAGAACTCAGTTTGACTTTTTACATCTCAAGATACATTTGCTGGGCTGGCAATTCACTCTTCTCTGTATATGTCAAATGTGTTACGTTTATATGGTGATTCTTAAAAGACAGTTGTCCTGAACTAATGTTTGGTAGAGCTATTTTTTTTTCTTTTTAAATATCAACCATGAAGAACAGTTGTACGTTCACTTCTCAAAAAATAGTACCGTGAGAATGGTGTTAGCCAATGACTTAGTGCATCACTTGAGCTGGTCAGAGTATCCACCATTGTCCTCTCACTTAGGCTTACTGGAGTATTTTTCTTAGCAGCGCTTTGCTGAATGGGAAGTGCCACAATACAGAAGACTCCAGATATATGCTTTATATAAATTATACAATATCCATCAAGGAGGATCACAAAGCAGGGTGCAATGTCTTAGAGCTACTATGCTTTTTTAGTGCCACAAGAAAATTTCTCTGTGACAAGCTCATACCCTCACCTTAGAAGGCATTTTTAAATAACTTTTGAACTGCTAGGCCTAACCTGGGGGGAAGATATGTCCCAACTGTAAAATCTAAAATGCCATAAGTAGTAACCAACTCAGTATGGTAAATATTTAGAATCTCATAAAATGATTCCTAATTTGGACCAAAGGGTGATCCATTGGCCAGTCATATGCCTCTCACTGTATGTTATTTTTCCACCCTTCCTGGCCTTGCTCCCAGTGTGTAAACCCTTAGATGCAGTTTTTCTCTGAAGTTGAAGATAACTACGTATTCTAAGCAGTGCTCATAGTGTAAACTCAATATACTATCTAAGTTGAGCATTTTGTTAACATTGCATACTAGGAAAAGAAATCGTAGGTCATTCTCTTTTTTAACAGAGGCAAGCTGGCCACTGCTGTGATACAGCATGTTTGCAAAAATAACCTTGGCTAGCATAAAGTTGTGTCCTACATACCATGTGTTCAGAATTCTTCTCCTTCAGACGGAAGCATATTCATTAAAGAATTTGCCACAACTGAGAAACAATTCTGCTTTAAAAAAAAAAAAAAAAATCAGACACTACTGTTCATTTGTGGGTAGAATTATTTCTGTCACTAGACCTGATCAAAGTGATGTGAACGTGTATACGGATCCTCAAATTAATATATTTGATCGATGATGTTTTAAGAAGGTTTGTGCTATCAGAGGTTATTAAAACTCTTTCTTTTCTAGGAATAACTCTAGTTTCACACCAGCAGACACAGTGGCTATCATTTTCTGTTCCACACACAAATCCCTCACCCTGGGTAAGTCAGGAGATAAGCTTTTGAGCAAAACAACAGTAACATTCATACTTTGCTGTGTTGAAAAAAAATTGTTGTTGGTTGCTAGCTTTTCTGCTTAAATGGTTTTGGTTTTAGTGTGACAAGTAATGCTACCAGTATGATACTAATAGTAGAATAATATTCTTGCATAGATAAAATAAACGCTTATTACAGGGCAGACAACATAGTCTTCTCAGCTGAGATTTTAGTGGTTATACAGTAAGACCACCTTATTTATGGAAGGCTGGATTTTTCTTTCTGTTCTTATTCTGTTCTGTTGCCTCATCCAATATTGATAAAATTTCAGGTTGTTATTTGAAAACATTGTAAGGTATATCTGGCCAGTCTTACAGTAAAATCTTACACCTAAAAGCTGGGATTTACAAGTGAAAATCGAAGCATGTAGTGTATTCAGAAATCACAAGTAGACAATACTGTCTTTTGCTTAATATGAGCAAAATGTATGTGTTTATTTTAAGTCTGCAGGTATTTTGGATAGTTTTATTTATTAGAATTCATTTATCAAAACATCATTGAGATATTTGTCACTTATGACCCCTTAGTGATAAAAAGATGTTCTGATGGAAATTCACAAAATACTGCTAAATCAGTTATGCTTACAGCCACTTGCCACTGCTTCATCCATTATGTTCAGTCAGTGAAATGACTAGTACTTGAATATTTTCTTACTGTTTTTCAAAATATGAAAACGTGTTTGATATGACTGAGTATATGCCTTTTCAAGACTGTATCTGTCAAAGAGAAACACAGCTGGTGTCAATAACAAAGGTAAGAACTCAGCCTGAAACAGGGGAAGAACAAGTTGGGACTTAGGTGAGATGTTTTCCCAGTCAGTTTGATATAGTGAAACTCATCTCAGGGTTCTTTGCTTCAGCCAGGCCTGTGCTGCACAACTGTTAGCAAGTGCCCTTGAAAGTCTGTGGGAAGTGAAGGAGTTCCTGGAAGACAAGAAAAAGGCAAACATAATGTCTCTTTTTCACAATGGAAACGAGGAGGGGACGAGGAATTATAGATCAGTGAGTTTAACTTCGTTTTGTAGAAAACTACTGAAACAATTAAATAAATTATTTTAACAGTGTAGGAAGAAACAAGGAAATGAGTAACAGCCCCGTAGATTTGTCAAATGCATATCATACCAAACTAACCTGATTTCCTTTCACACAAGGTCCTGTGGGTTGCAGAGAAGTAGCAAAAGTTGTATGGCTTGAGAGCATTATGGCTTTTGACATTTGCATGATGTTTTGGGCTCCAAAATTCAAAAATTATGTGGGCCAACTGGAAAGAGATCAGAGGAGAGTGCCATGAATGATCATAGATCTCAAAAACGTGACCCCGGAGGAAGGTTGAAGCAATTGGGATTGTTGAGAGAAGACATCTGAAATACAGTAGTGATCTTCAAATGCATAAAAAGTTGATGCAAAGAAGGAAAAAAGTAACTCTTCCACGGTGGACTTTGAAAAGGGAAGGACTTTGTTACAATGATGATGATTTAAGCTAACAATCAGGGAGACCTGTCTAATGTAAAACAGTTTAGCTTTGGAATATGTTGCCTATTGATATCTTCAATCTCCTATCATCGTAGACAAGCCTCAGACAGGAATTAGATAGCTGGAGTTGATCCTGCCTTGGAGCAGAACATAGATTAAATGACATTAGGTCTTTTTCAGCCAAATGTTCTATGAAACTGAAGCTTCAACTAATAAATGAGCTTGTATTCAGGAGAACAGTTACACTTGTATTTACAGAAAGCAACCCCACACGTAAGTCGTAACACACTACCGTACTTGCTATTTGGAGGTGTGTATAAACTTAGGACACAACTGTGATACTACAGAAGAGAAGCTGGTTGTATTTAACAGCACAAATGTGTAAGTCTCCCCTTCCCTCCCCAGTGAAAATAGTTTTATATACGCTCTTCTGAATACTTCTGCAGCTTGCTGTGACACTAAGAAAATAAGCACAAAGCCTGTTTTTAATATTTAAGTCCTAAAGGGCCTTGCCGTCACCCAGAAAAAAATGAGGACTGTTCATTTCTTTTACTCATTTCACCAAGCATCCTCACGCAGCCTGTCTTGACCTGCACCCTATGCACACAGCTGAGTCGGTTCACTTTTCTTCTGCTAGTACACTCTTCTTTTTATATTTTATTTTCTCCTTTAGAAGAACCTAGTTTGAGGTTCCTAGCTTGCTTGACTTTTTTGGCTTACATTTTCGCAATTCTAAGTTACTGCTCTCATTAGCTCAGCCTGATGAGTCAGGCTTTGTATTTTGCAGCTTTCTTTGCCCAAGGACACCAACAAAAATAGTTTGGCCACCTTGACTTCAAGGACTCCTACAGCTTCTCCCCAGCCATACATACTTTTGCCCTGCTAATACAGATGTCTCACGGATAAGTGTGCAAGTTGAAATGAAACAGGCAGATGGTGGAACGCAGTATTGCGGGACTGGTTCTCAGCTACAGACTTCCATTTGTCAGCTTCAGAACAGACTGCTTTACCTTCGTCCTTGAAGAGCTGGTGTCTCACAGAAAGCAAGTTTGCCTCCTAGGAGGCTAGTCACAAGACGTAATTTGTTCTTAGGCTTTGCACTTTTGCACTACCTTTCTTTACTCCTCAGGGCCTGCGTTGAGATCGCTGGGTGGTTGGGACCTGTGCTTCCCTTGCTGTATTCCATCTCTGGGGCTCAGCTTTGTCAAGGTTTCTTTGAGGCTTCCAGGCTTGTCTTGCGTGGGGCCAGCAGCAGCGTGTCCTGAATTGAGCACCTCCTCTGATGTGGAAATGCTGTCAGACCCTGGGATCCCATCTTTGGAAAGCCTGAGGGCCCCGCCGCTCTTGTGTGCACCCCTACACAGTGTGTGCGCTACGTAGGCGTGCCTGCTGTGTATCAGTTTCAAGCTGGCTCATTTTGAGGCCGCTGGTATTTTGCTCTGTTTGGTATTAGTACCAGGTCCAGATAAGACAGGGCTGCATAAACGCACATTTCTATGTAAATAGGGAGGATCGGGTTTTATGAAGCTGTAGTGCAATGAGGCATGCCCCTGAGCTGATGATGTAAACAAGAATGTTAACCACAGCAGCTAGCATTTATTCCTTCAATGAAGGTGGAAGTAGAGTAGATCTAATTTGTTTTTAAGGATCAGCCATTTCTGAATGACAGTTAAATCTATCCACAGCATAGTCTTGTCCACCCTGATCTTAGCAGAAACAAGAACAGACGTAGGCATTTTGGCCCTTACTCTTTTGTTGTTCTGTCACATTTCTACTTGTCCAGAGGTGTTTACTATAAACCATGCAATGAGAAGCCTTCTGTTCTCTTGTAGCGGAGAGAGTTTTTCCCTCTCCCTCTGTCATTACAATGCTTGAAAGCACAAATACAGCTCAGGGTCTGGTTTCACATCCGTTGTGGAGCTCTGCTTTGTTTGTCTTCAAGATTCCAGTGGTAGTGTGTAAATGACCCCCCAACACTTGTTCTTTCACTTTGAAACTGATTTCTCTCAGCTTGGCAGGTGAAACTCCAAATAGGTATGTCTGGCCCCTTCCCTGAGGAGCTTAGAATGGCACCGACTAAAGTGGGAGAAGAGCTGACAGCTTTAAAGCTTTAGAAGTGGTAATAGGAGAGGCATGAGAAGACTTTTATAAGTCACTTTCTCCCACACCATATTACGAAACCAACTAATTCCCATGCAGTGCATGCTCATGAGGCCAACTGCCACTTCCACTGTTGAATCCATGAATAAGTGCTTGCTCTGCACGGAGATAAGTGCTGTTCCCATATGCTGCGTTTTATTTTGTAGACAGAACAGTTGACACACTTTTTGTCTCAAAGATCAGAGTGCAGGGCATGTTTGTGTAAGGACAAATTAAACAGGGTAGGTGCCTTTGTGTTTCTTAGTTAGGAACACAAGCCAATATTTCTGCATAGAGGTGGGTGCTTTGGCAGTTTTTTGAATACAGTGCATCACGTATGCAGAAAAACTCATGTTTATTTGTATTTCACTTAATGAGTGAAACAGGATATAAAGTTACAAGGAGTGAAGATAAATACAGTATTCACAATGCCCTCTGGCATATTCACCCACACTTTGTTCTCTTTCTCTCCTTCTCCCTGCTCACATATATGCACAGTACATGTGAGCACACAGATATGCGGACATTTGATGCATGGCTTTTATTAGTGCATTTGCCATTGATTGATTAGTACTTAGTATTAGTACTTCGTCTATTGATTGATTGCAGATGAAGTGACTATTTGACCTTTAATTATGAGCCTTGCTATTGAAAATGACATTGAGCTATGGCTTCACATAATCCATCTGGAAAGCCCGACATGATGCCATTCCCTGGAGTTCATTCAGTGAGAAGAGAAGAGGCCTCAAGGAAGTGCAAAGCTATCAGTGTGGTTCATCTGAAAAAATACTGCAGTTGTTGCTTGCACTTACACAAAAGTTGCAGCCAAGTACAGAACATTATTTTTTGCAGAGTGAATTGCTAGCTAGAAGTTACAACTCCAAAAGTAAAATGCAGGATTCTCAAAAAATATTTTCACTTTATTTATCAGCAAAAAATGGAGTACTGCTACCTATTTTGGCTACCACAAATGCAAATGTTAGTACCGTAGGTATGATGAACAGCAGATTGGTAAAAAAATAAAACAACAAAAATAACCCCACCTTATAATAAAATTGGGGTATTGTTTGAGATGCAGAGTGCATTTTTCCTCATTTGGATTTAACAATGTAGCAGTTCTTTCACCATGGAATTCTTAAAGTAATGCGATCAAAGTTTCTAGGCTACAAAATACTTTCAGGAGAGAATAGAGTTCATTTTGCAAATAAAAGCCAAAGCGCTAACTTTCTTTTGTATTGTTTTAATTTCAGTCAAATCTATTTTTTAAATACTCAGCTTCTCACTGCACGAGTACAGAACTGATAGTCTGTACTTGAACAATTCTTAAAAACCTGC